ATTTATCAAGGACAAAACTGCTTGATTTTTTTCAACTTACGTTTGTTGATATACGATAACGACGCATAACATTTTCATCAGGCAGGTAGTCGGTTTCGTTATGATACACTTATTCTTGCACGTGTTCGCTATTCTCACCATGTTCTTCCACTATACACCTTTTTTTCTTTTGCATTATGTACTACTATACCAAGAAAATGTCTCAAGTGAGCTAGCGACGGGCTAAATGTCGACTATTTCTTCTGGTTCTTGGCGTTTCGTTCTCCTTCCTTTCTGTATATGCGTATATGTATAGCTGTTATACGTGCTGATGTTTATGCACGATCTTTACTATATATATAGAACGAATACAAATATATAACATATATAATATGTGTATGAAGAACGAAAGAAAAGAAGATACCAATAGAGATCAAACGAAGGGTGTGGGTGTAGGTGTGGGTGTAGGTGTAGGTGTGGGTGTGAGTGTGAGTGTAGGTGTGAGGCAATAAAGATAACAACACCCACACTCTTATTGGCCAAATACAGCTAAAATCTCAATCGTATCAAAAAGTTGCAATTCACTCATATACATATTTAAAAAATCTTACATTTAATGAAAAGATTTTCCAATCTGTCCAGAACTTCTTGTTGACTAATTCGAATAAATGATTCCCTAAAAAAGAAAACTGTATTCAAACAATAGAATGGCATCAACTTACATTTGAATTATTGATATTTCAGGATCATCATCAATATGTACGCCTAAATCTTCTAATTTGCAACAATCATCGATTATTTCTACACAAAAAGAAAATGCTTCAAGTTATTGTTCAACTTTTTAAATTTCACGTTCTTACTTTCATATTCTTTTGCTTTGTATAAAGCAGACACTCGGTGCTTGATACGCGTTACTAATTCATTTGTATCTGTACTAGCAATTGTTTTCATCAAGTCAGATATCATCCAAATCGTATAAAAAAGAACTAATGATTTCTAGTTTAACCCTTTCTTGTCCATGGCTAAGCTGTAAGGCCTAGGACTGAAATTCTTCTGGCAATGTAATTACTACGACCTCTGATATGCGCCGAATAAGTTTCAATCACTTCGCTTAAATGCTAATATAATTGATGTATTGAATCTCCAGTAATTTTTATTGTATAGAAAAAATTATGAAAGTTACAGAAGAATGAACACAATGATACTACTATCGTAAGCACAAGATAATTGCGTTCACTTTGTAGACTATCATTTGTTGTAGTATGTGAATTGAGTTTGAAAGATCTATTCTTTTAGTTGATGATCGAATTCGAAATGATTAGTTTCAGCATAACAAAGCGAAATTTTGCATTTCTTGCAATAAGTACTGGTTCTTTTTCGACAGCCTGGAAATTGGCACCGTTTGCTTTGAAAATTTCTTGTTTTACTGTTCATATCTCTCCATCCAGAAAAATGACCAATTTGGTCATATCTTGAATATTCATTACGACCAATGGACTCTGGTTGCATACCACCCTAAATCCAATTTGAAATTCAACAGATCGATTTCACACGATGTAATCTGTTTGTAAATGAACCATGAATTGATGACAACAGAATCCAAAAAGTGGTAAAAAAACTTTTTGTACCATTTATTTCCTTTTAGTTGAATCCGGTATAAGCTCATGCGCATGTCAAAAGCATCAACTCCGCTCATGCTTTGATTGTATGCATCTATGGAATATGGACGTGCGATTGTTATATGAGTTTTATTTTGCTGGTCAAATCTTTCACAGTTGTCGACAGGAAAGGAATCAAAACAATTGGAGACTACGTGTACTGCTTTATTGTCGAACCATTTTGTAATTACAAAGTGACCGCCGTCGATTGTTTCAAAAACCAAATGAGCCCTTACCTTGTTGCTTTAACTTTTTGTCAGATTTTACAAGAGATGAATTGAAACAATTCACTCTTATAGTAGATATCACGTGATATTGTTTGTCGTGTAAAAATTTCATCAGTTTCATAGTTGCAAAATAATTATCATAGCAGACAAATGAGTTTGGTGGTATATTTTGTGTAAGACGGATCACGACATTACCAGCTGCTCCAACATCTGGATGTACGGTTGTTGTTTGATTGTCACCTCCGATTTCAAACTGATACAAATAACTCGACTTTCCTGCATGTGAATAGATTTTATAACCCCATTTATGAGGTTTTGAAGGAAGATATCTTTTCAAGCTACTAAATCCTTTATGTGGCACAATCTGCTCATCAATACTGTTAATTTCTTCTTGAACTGTTGCTGATTGAAACTTCTGGTTAAAGTGGTTTATGAGTGGTCGAATTTTGAAGAGTCTATCGTAACTGATATCAGTTTTCGATGGTTCGTTTTGGCTGTCGTTGAAATGAAGTATTGATAAGGTTTCTTCAAAACGACTACGAATAAAGACAGATGATATAATCGTTTGTTTTGTCGGCTTTGACCAATACATACGACGTCTTGGAAGACGAATAATAGACATATACATTAAAACTGCAATAAACTTTTGGATTTCTTCTTCTGATATATCAGGAATTTGATATCCCTTTTGATCTTTGTATTTGTTTGACTCAGTTGCAATTTTCAAAGTCAATGTAGTATCCACAAAATACTCAAATACACCAAGCGGCATTTTTCTAGACAAGTTGACAAAATATGGAATAGGTTTCAATGTACTTTCGGGTAGGTCAATTGAATCAAAATTATGACGCTTCCATTTGCTTCCTTCAGTTTTTTTCTTTTTTGATTGTGGACTTGATGTATGAGATGAGCTTTGATCATCTACATCAATATATTCATCGGTTTGACCGATCAACTGATCAGATTCACTGTTCTGAAAGCTAGAACTGCCTTCGGGTATTGCATTAAACATTTTTTGTGTTAGAAAATATGCAAGTAGAGTAGATACATTCGCTGCTTCCAGAAAGTTTTGGTTTTGCATTGCCATCAAATATCTCATTAGAGTATTATCTGTAGTGCTCATTGTCAATGTTTTAATTGTTGAACTGAAGTAGCAACAAATCATGACGGTCATTTATATACCGGATAACAAAGACCAACAATAAATAAACTATTCGATCGCCGTGTATCAATTGCACACTACCTTGTGTCATACGATTCATAACGATCATATTAAGTTGAGCTAATCATTTATTGAACTTTTATTGATAGATGTCGCTTGATAATATTGACAATACGTTTTTTTAGTTATTACTTGTTTGCATTATATCAATGGTCACTATTCATCTATATTCAACATAACCCTACAAATCCATTATTTTTCTCGTTGCCATTGATTTATTAGTATTTGTTATTGTTTTAATAATTAAAAGCTATTAGTGCAATCTTTATGGGATTAAAATATGATACACGCTCTAGCTGCTGTTGCTAATGACAAGAGATTGCTTTATTCAATCTATTTTAGAATACATCTCTTCATGATCCTTTAACTTAATAATTCTTTAGAGACCCAATGAGAAAGTAGTTCAAATATTAGAATGCGACGTCATTGATGTACAGTCTGTCACCAAATTATGTATTTCAATTTGTCACAAACATAAAAATAATCCTAACGAAACCTATCATCTAACAACACGTTTCGTATGCATAACAAGTTTAGAATTTAAGAAACTTTTAGGTTTATATTTGCCAATATATGATTTACTTTTTGTAGCTATTATTCCATTTCCTCTAATGATATTTACAAATATAGGTATAATACGTACAATAAAACATACAAATAGTTTATTAATATCACGAAAACAAAAATGAAATAATCGTCTTACGATCACGTTATTATCAATTATATTAGTATTTATGCTTTTAAAATGTCCATCAGTCAAATCTATATATGTATAAATCGTTTAATATCATCAACAGCATTATGATATACAAAATATGCTTTAAATTTTATATTATTTTACGTTAAGTAGACAAGATTTTTGAAGAGAATTTCGAAAATCAATCTCAAGTTCACAATGAACAACATCGAATACATTTACGACTCTTGATGATGAATGCAGTTTGTTTTCTGCTAGTTCAAATGCCATATCACCGACCACACTATAGTTGTAGTGAGCACGAAAGAATCTTATTATAATAAAAAAAAAAGTTCTGTATATATTGAATACAAATATGTTCCTTGACTTTAGTTTCCTACTACTTTAATACCTTATTCTTAGATTTCCATAGTAAGAAAATTCTATTATCTTTCTATTTAAACACTATAAAATAGATAAATTTGATTTGTAAACAAAAAATAATGTTTATTTGAGTATGTCAAAACTTCGACTAATATTCCAGAATAAAAAGTCTTATCAGTATTTTATTAATATCTTCGTCTTGAATTTTTTAGGTATATATTGAAAATTCGATAGATTACGAGACTAAGAAAAGCATAAAAGGATTTGAGCCCATGATCTACTAATGAAGTGTTATAATCGTTCGAATGAAATTTTCTTTTGAAACGATAAGTATTCATCAGAGTCAAAGGTTTCCTTAGTCAGTCAAATCTCAATAGGAACCTTAATCCTTTGTATTATTATTCCAACACACTATGACAGAAAGTCGGAAGAGGTTCCCTTGTAAGTAATGAAAGTGCATGTAAATAAAACTTTTCGTTTTTTTTTAGTAGGATGGATGTTTATAATGTTTTAATTCTACTAGTACTAAAGCATATGTTTATCTCTCATCGACTAGAATACCAGTTCTGATTGATATTGTACTTTATAATCTTTTGTATAATAAAAAAAAAGATCGTTTAGTTGAAATAGCCTATTTTACTATTAATATATATTTTAACAGATATAATCATTTGAGAAGAAAAAAAGAGCTACATAACATTCATTAGAGAGAACAAAATCTACATCTGACAAAATAATAAACACAGAAAAAAAAGAATAGATATATGTGTGATCTATCACATATTGATACCAACCTAAAACAAAACAAACAAAAAAAAATTAAAATATAATAAAATTCGATTAAACTTACATGATCAAACTTCAACAGGAGTATTACCATTAACCATCATATTTTCTGTTTCTTTTGTTTCCATAATAGGTGTATCAGTTGTTTCAGATATTTTAATTTTTTTTGTTTGATCACCAGTACGTTCATCATTATCATTAGTTGCATCCGATTTTTCTTCTTCTTGTTCAAGTTCACGTTTTTTACCATTTGTTAAAATTGTTTGTTCTTCTTTTTCACTTTCATTTACTTCTTTTAATGGTACATTCATTCGACTAGGTGAACCAATTGCCGTTGGTACAGTTGAATTTGTACCAGTAACATTTTCTTGTTCATCAGTTGATGTTACTGTTTCTTCTTCAGTTGTTGTTGGTGGTGGTGGTGGTGCAACTTCTTCTTCTTTATTTTCTATTACTGGTGTTGTTTCTTCTGTTGTCACTGCTGATGGTTCTTCATCATTGGTTTTTGATATATCTTTAGTTAACACTTGTTCATCATTTGTTGTTGTATCTTCGGATATCGGTGGTTCAACATCGGTTTTCGATGTATCTTCACTTATTGGTTGTTCATCATTAGTTTTTGATGTTTCTTCAGTTACTACTGATTCAACAACTGGTGTTGTTTCATTGTTTTGTACAGATAGTTCGGTATTTTCCATGAATGATGTTTTTTTCTTACTTATAAGAGAAGAATGAATTTTGTTGTAACTAGTCCGATGATATGATGTAGAATGAATATGCACCGAAAAAAAAAGTCAGAGAATTATATGATGATATAGACAGACGGACGGGTAAGATAGACAAGGGATTATTGTTATATTGAAGAGTACAAAGAATAGATGAATGAAATTTTATTTTGAATAAAAAAAAATTTATTCTTAAAGAAATTTTATTAAAAAAATTTTAATATTAAATTTATTAAAATTAATATTAATGAAAAAATATATATATAACAGAATTATTATTGATTGGTAGTTTTATATAGACCAATAGAAAAAAACCATGAAGATAATGTATAAAAATGTCCGTCAGTATTTTCTTCTTTGTTATATTAAAATAAAGGGAAACAAAAAAAAAAAATAACTATGTCAACTGATGAAGAAATTCCGGCTGTTTCGGATGTTGAAAATGCAAAAAAATCTGATGGTACAAGTACAGCTGGTGAACATAATACGGATAAAGTAAATGATGCCGAACTTGAAGAACAATCAAATGAAAAATCAATAACCGAAGAAGAAGAAGAAAATCAACCTGATGATGAAACAAAAAGAGAAAATAATAAACGTGATATTAATAAAATTGAAAAAAATAATTTAAGAGAAGAACAAGAAGTAGAAGCTAAACAAGATGAAATAAACGGATCTATGAAAACAAATAAAAAAATTAAAATTATTGATTCCACAACAGATGAAAATGATGAAACAGATTCAGAAATACCTAAGGAAGAACTAACTGTTGTTTAATTTAAATGTACATTTTATTTTTTTTCTCGTATGATCTATTCCATAATTGAATTTTTCTTTTGCGTTATATATAAATATTCAATGTTTTTTTTTTCTTTTAGATTATTAAAATATGTCATCAACAACAGCAGCATCAAATCTTTTTGAAATAAAGTCAGTTTAAGATTCTAACCAATTAAAAATTCGCGTTAGAGATTACAACACGGAATTGAAATCTTATCGTTGTATTACTCATAATCATAGGATTATTCATCTTTGTATTTAAAGAGTGAATATTTAGTGAAATCTACTATATTCGTTTTTGACCTTCTTATCCGGATTTATATATAAATATAGTTAGGATAGACCAAAAGTAGTGACAATAGTACTCTAATACCTTCGAGAAGGCTCAAGGAAAACTATTTAAGTCCATAATTCATTATATTTTGCTTTCAGCGGGTAGGCTTTAGTTCTCATAAAAGTTGATAGCTTGAGAAGATGTTAAAGATAAAGCGTGATCTAAAATGAAATAAACGAATAGTTTTGATCAAAATTCTAATATATTTTTTTTTTGTATTATTTAGAGATGAAGAAGCTAATGAATCATTTTTACTTGGTAAACGAGATGTATTATTGAATAATTATCAATCAGCATGTGATCATTTATCAAAAACATGTGAACGAATGTGAGAAATTATCTTTTTTATTTATATTCAAAAAATTTCGTGTGGTTTTTTTTTCAGTGTTAAATTACGTGAAAGTGATACAACACCTGAACTTGCTGAACCTTACTTCTATTATGGTCAAGCATTACTTTATCTTGGTCTTGGTGAACAACAAGTATTCGGTAGTGATATTGTAAAAGGTTAATTAAAAAAAAAAGAAATTTTCTGTGTAGCATCCGTTGAGTTCAAAATTTTTATACTCGGATCCGAATCATATTCTTAATTTAAACGACATTTTTTAGTTTGAATCTAATGGTCGCTATGAAGATACAAGATATTTTTCACGGATTATTTGTATTCTACGACAAAGCTAACGATGTTCAGAAATTTCCGAATCTCAGGATGCTTCCATGACTACTTGACGAATTTATACATATAATATTCAGTGTCTGTCTGTGCCGAGTTAGAGGTCAAATAAGGCTATAAGCAGAAGGTCCAAGGGCTACTATATTAGGATATCCATAGACCCTCAAGGACTATTATGTAAGGGTACCCATAGGTCGTTAAAGACTATTATATAGGGTACATATAGACCCTCAACGGAGTAAGGCAGTAAGGGGGTAGATAATAAGGGGTAAAGCAATAAGAAGATAAGACTAGAAGAGCTACAAGGGATATAAGGTCGAAGGTTACCTGGTCTATAGAATTATGTGCGATGTGAGCTAAGGTCATACGTTAAAGGAGGAAACAGCCGTGCAGGTTCTTGCTAATCATCTAAATACTCGACACTGTCAGAATTGATTGAATAGTTTCTTAACACCGCATCAAAGCTCGAATTCGTCTTATGTCTGTGTTCGACTAACGTATTTTATACATTTCTCAAATAATCATGACGATGATCAAATGGCTGTTACTTGTAGAGTATGATCGGTTGGGTCGAGTCCCACTAGCCCCATTTCCTAGAACCATTCATTTAATCGAATCTTTGTTAAAATAAACTTCTTGATCTAGAGCGACTAACATAAGATTATAGAATTCTTTGCCAAGGTTACAGAAAACATAGAAATCGCGTCAATTATTAGAAATTTAATTATATCTTCTTATTTATATTTGTAGATACAGATAATGATGAAAATGAAAATATTGAAGAAGAAGATGAAAATGATGGAGAAGAAGAAGAAGGTGAAAATGAAGATGATTCTATTCCACATGATGAAAATGTTAATGATCTTGAACGTGCTTTTGAAATTCTTGAATGTGCACATATGATATATACAAAAATGTCTGAAACAAATTCCAATGATGCACATATTATTACGCGTATAGCTGATATTCATGTTATGCTTGCTGATATTTGTAATGAAAATGGTGATCATGAAAATGCTCTATCACATGTACTTAAAGCAATTGAATTACAAGAAACAATAAATGAACAGCAACGTTATCGTTTACTTGCTGAAAGTTATTATAAATTAGGTTTAATTTATGAATTAATTCATAAATTTTCTGATGCTATTGATAGTTTTAATAAAGCTATTGATGGTATTAATCAAGCTATAAAAGAATTAGATGGTGATGATAAAGAAAATGAACGTGAAGAACTTAAATCACTTTTACCATCAATTGAACTTAAACGTAATGATGCACAAGCATCAATTGCTGATCAACATTTAATTATTCAAGCAAGAAAAATTCTTTCAGGAACAGATAATACAACAGAAAATAAAACAATTGATATTCCAGCTAAAGATATAACATTAAATATTCGACATAAACGACCAGTTACTGAAACAGAAAATGATGATGAAACAAATAAGAAAGCTAAATTAGAATAAATTTTGTCTTATTAATATTGTAAATTGAAATAAAAAAAAAAAAGAACAACGAATTATTTTCCTTGATTATTTTCTTCTAGATGGATTTTAGTCATTTAGCTTTTGAATTTCAATGGGAACAATGTTTTTCTTTAATAGACAAATGGAAAACAACAATGATAGATCATATAATAAATATTCATCAAGAAAAATCATCAGAAATTCAAATATATAAAGAACAAGCAGAAAAAAATTTTTTTCATGAAAAAAAAAATTTTATTTTAAATATGAATGAATATTTTCAACATACATGTATTCGTTCATATGAAATAAATTTATTTAAAAATAAATTAAATCAACTTAAAAAAAATATTATACAACGACCATTACCATTACATATTGAAATAGAATCATATTCATTAAATAAATTAATAAATATATATCAATTATTTAATAAACAATTATTTGATCAAAGAAAAATTTTAGCAGAATATAAAATACCTACACAAACAATTTATTTAATGTCAACATCAAATAATCAAATAATAATTGTTAATAATCAATTAAAAATTTTTTTATATGATAAATTAATTGGATTTATTGATGAAATAAATATGTTAGATTATACAAATGAATATTTAAATGATATATGTTGGTCAATAAATTATAAAAATTTTCTTTTTCTATGTGATTATTCATTATGGTCATTAGAAAATTTATGTTTAAAAAAATTAGCACATATTTCAAATAAAAAACATTTTTTAAATAATTTAACATCTTTTCATAATTATGTTTTTTTTATTTATGATCGTGGTGAATATATTGATCGATGGATAATACAACCTGAATGGAAATTAGATAAACGTTGGATTAAATATAATAATAATGATATATTATTATCAATTAATTCAAATAATGATTATTTACTTATTTATACAAATAAATTAATTCAATTATGTTCAGATGATTTAATTATACAATATACAATTGATTTATCAAATCAAGAACATTTATATTCAAATTTTATATTTTTATCTTCATATAAAATATGGTTAACTGTTGATAAAGAAACACAATTATTAAAATATTTTCATTTAAATAATCGAATAATACAAACACTTGATCAAATATATGTTAGAACAATTAGTTCAATGGGAAATAATGAATTAGCACTTGTTACAAAAGATGATTATCATTTACAAATACTTTCAATTTGAGATTTAGAAAATTTATTTTCCTTATTTTTGATATGTTAACTATGAAAATTCATAACTATAGTATTTTAGATTATATATATATATATATGTCAAAAGCTACGATTACTATTTTATGTCCAAGTGGACATCGACGAAAAGTACAAATGACACCAAATAGTAATTTACTTCAAGTAAGAAATTGAATGAAGGAAAAACTTGCGCCAATGACAAAATTTCAGGCCCTTCTTGGAAAGACTATTCGACTTTGACAACACAAATGAATGAAAATAAATGTGACACAATAGAAGATCTGAGATCATTTATTACGGGAAGAGATTTACTATTATCACATCTAAATACCGATTAACATATGTCCTATAGTAAAGAGTAAATGTTATTTGACTCCAAAGAAATATTCATTGGTTCAATACCAATTTCAGCCTCATGCACTTCTTATTGTGAACCTTCTCACCCTTAAATCAAAAAGTAATTCATCTATGGACTTCATGTACATTCGTAATGCTGCGATCTGTTTTTTATACAATGATACCGCATTCCGTACCATTACGATCGACTGTCCCTCCTACGGGAAAATTTTCAGATTCCATATTGTGACTTCAAAATTTACGGACTAATTTAACATGACACCTAGATTTAATACGTACCGATATAAAAACTTGAGAAAAACTATTAATTATAAAAGCTAGTCAACACGTGTCTAGAGGAAAGATTGATCCTACACGGGAGGAATACAAATACCTGGTGAGGATATAGTTCAAACAATTTTCGTGAGACTAAAAACCGTTTTCTTTCGACGATGGTTTCATTTTTTTTGGAATGTTAAATCTATCAAGACTGTAACTGTTATTTTCATTTCTATAAAACCTTTTGTAATTGTTAATTATCATTGATCTTTTTCATTGATATTAATAGGCACTTGAAGATATGTGTAATCAAGAAAAATTAGATTCATCTGAATGGGGTCTTATGTAAGTTTGTTATATTTATTTCAATGATATTAAATAAAATTAAATTTTAGACATCAACGTAAAAAATGTGATTTAACAGTACCATGGCGTTTAGCAAGTATACCTACAAATGCTCTTTTAGAAATGTATAAATTAGAAGAACGTCGACCAACAAGTGATGTAACTGTACAATTACAAATACCTGATAATTCACGATATACGGGTAATTTTAATCCTTCAATTACTCTTCAAGAAATGCTTGATTGGTATCGTAATCAATCAGAAAGGTTCGTTATTATTTATTTTTTGTAT